GCGATGTGTCCTCTCCTGCCCCAGCAGCTACAGAAGCTGAAGCAACTTTTCCAGCGAAAGCCCAAGGAGGAGACGGCGCCAGAGCCACAGCCCAATGGGGAGCTGGTCAGCCCCTCAGGGGGACCCATCTACTACATCTATGAGGAGGAGGAAGAGGAGGAAGAGGAGGAGGAGCCTGAGCCCCCTCCTGAGCCCCAGAAACTTGTCAATGACAAACCCCACAAGTTCAAAGATCATTACTTCAAAAAGCCCAAGTTCTGTGATGTTTGTGCCCGCATGATTGTCCGTGAGTCCTGAGGGTGCTGGGGCTGGGGGCCACGGTCTGGGCGAGGGCTGGGGACCAAGGCTGGCGAGGGCTCAGCCCAGCTGTCCCCATGGATGCAGTGTCACATTGCCTTTCCTTTCCACCCCTCCCACCTCCAGTCAACAACAAATTTGGCCTGAGGTGCAAGAACTGCAAAACCAACATCCACCACCACTGCCAGTCCTACGTGGAGATGCAGCGCTGCTTCGGCAAAATCGTGAGTGTTCCCACCGGCCTTGGGCACCTCCTTGCAGGGAAGACCAAGGCCCCACGGCAGGGAGCATCTGGCTCGGTCCCCGTGGGCATGACCCAGATGCCATGACCCACCTCTCCTCCTGTCTCTGAGGGGGGAACCCAGGCATCACCCCCCTGCACCCTCTGGGTGCCCAGCATCCACCCACTCCCCCCTCAGCTCTCACAGGAGGGCCCACAGTTCTGGGTGGTGGTTGATGCTCTGACCTCCTCTTTCCTTCCAGCCCCCGGGGTTTCGCCGGGCATACAGCTCGCCCCTCTACAGCGACCAGCAGTACGCCTGCGTCAAGGAGCTGCTCTGTAAGTACTGACCCCACGCTGGGGTGCCCCATCTCCTCGTGTCCTGGAGCTGAACCCCTCTCACCATGCCTGTGCCCCAGCGGCAGCCAACAGGAGCGACCCCGTGTTCGAGACCCTGCGGACAGGCGTCATTATGGCCAACAAGGAGCGCAAGAAAGGGCAGGATGACAAGAAAAACGTGAGTGCCCGAGAGTCCTGGCACCACAGCCTGCACCCCATTGCCACCCCCACCTCCCTGCCTGCTCTGCACACACTGAGAGCTCTCTGCATTA